CACACACACACACACACACACACACACACACACACACACACACACCCCCACACACACACACACACACACACACACACACACACACAATGATGGTGATTAGATGAGCAAGTCGGCAACCTCGGTGTTGTACAATATCGCTGGATGAAATTCAAGTTATTTTTAGGTAATTTTATTATGACGCCAGTATTAATTTCAATTTATATTCAATTCAGGCCCTCCTGATATGCATTTATCTTGATGGTGTAGATCAGTGTTTTTCAACCTTCTCTGAGCCGCGGCACATTTTTTACATTAAAAAGATCCCGCGGCACACCAACAACCAAAAAAGTTACAAAATGCCATGGTGTCAAACTCAATCCCAGGCAGGGACAAAATTAAAAATTGGGACTACGTTGAGGGCCAAATAGAGTCACCATTTAATAAACAGGATAGAAGGGATATTGGACAAAGAGCAAAAATAATATGTTTGCTACATTCTTTTATGCATATGTACCAGAGCTAGATGTTTGGCATCTTTTCTTGGCTGCCAGTTCATTAATATCTGGGGGTAGGTTCTGTGCTGTGGAAACCCTCATGATGGAGTGAAGGTGCATCAGTGAGACGACTCCTGTGTGGGCTTTTGTTCATCTTCATCACAGAGAAAAGCTGCTCACACAGGTATGTGCTTCCAAACAAGCAGAGCGTTTGAGCAGCATGGAGGCAGAGTTGAGGCATCGTTTCGGGGTGAAGCTTGGAAACTGTGCAGCGCCCTCAGAGTCATACTTTGCCTTGAGTGTCATTACACTGGAGGTCTATCAGCTCCACAGGTGCTCTTTCCACATCAACTGCAAACGGATTGCTGAGCAGTTCAAATTTACATTTGTGAGCTGCAAAGTCGGCAAATCGCTGTGTGATCTCCGTGCCAAGTGTGCCACGTTTATCAGCAAAATGCGCAGTCGGGAACACAGCGGTGGAGACTTTTACTGCCTCACACATGTCTGTGATCACACATGTCTGTGATCACACGTCCCCGTCCCTGAAGCTGCAGGTTTAGCGCAGTGAGATGCTTCGTTATGTTGCGCAAAAAGCCAGCTAACATCACCACTTTTCGTCCCGGAGCTCTGTAGTGTGGCGGGCTGGTTATGATAAACATATGATATTTTCTGGCGGGCCGTTGTACCGAGGGCCGGATATACAGTTGTGTGAAAAAGTGTTTGCCCCCTTCCCGATTTCTTATTTTTTTTGCATGTTTGTCACACTTAAATGTTTCAGATCATCAAACAAATTTAAATATTAGACAAAGATAACACAAGTAAACACAAAATGCAGTTTTTAAATGAAGGTTTTTATTATTAAAGGGGAAAAAAATCCAAACCTACATGGCCCTGTGTGAAAAAGTGATTGCCCCCTAAACCTAATAACTGGTTGGGCCACCCTTAGCAGCAACAACTGCAATCAAGCATTTGCAATAACTGGCAATGAGTCTTTTACAGCACTGTAGAGGAATTTTGGCCAACTCATCTTTGCAGAATTGTTGTAATTCAGCCACATTGGAGGGTTTTAGAGCATGAACCGCCTTTTTAAGGTCATGCCACAGCATCTCAATCGGATTCAGGTCGGGACTTTGACTAGGCCACTCCAAAGTCTTCATTTTGTTTTTCTTAAGCCATTCAGAGGTGGACTTGCTGGTGTGTTTTGGATCATTGTCCTGCTGCAGTACCCAAGTGTGCTTCAGCTTGAGGTCACGAACATATGGCCGGACATTCTCCTTCAGGATTTGTTGGTAGACAGCAGAATTCATGGTTCCATTTACCACAGCAAGTCTTCCAGGTCCTGAAGCAGCAAAACAGCCCCAGACCATCACACTACCACCACCATATTTTACTGTTGGTATGATGTTCCTTTTCTGAAATGCCGTGTTACTTTTACGCCAGATGTAATGGGACATACACCTTCCAAAAAGTTCAACTTTTGTCTCATCAGTCCACAGAGTATTTTCCCAAAAGTCTTGGGGATCATCAAGATGTTTTCTGGCAAAACTGAGACGAGCCTTTATGTTCTTTTTGCTCAGCAGTGGTTTTCGTCTTGGAACTCTGCCATGCAGGCCATTTTTGCCCAGTCTCTTTCTTATGGTGGAGTCATGAACACTGACCTTAATTGAGGCAAGTGAGGCCTGCAGTTCTTTGGATGTTGTTCTGGGGTCTTTTGTGACCTCTTGGATGAGTCGTCGCTGCGCTCTTGGGGTAATTTTGGTCGGCCGGCCACTCCTGGGAAGGTTCACCACTGTTCCATGTTTTCGCCATTTGTGGATAATGGCTCTCACTGTGGTTCGCTGGAGTCCCAAAGCTTTAGAAATGGCTTTGTAACCTTTTCCAGACTGATAGATCTCAATTACTTTGTTTCTCATTTGTTCCTGAATTTCTTTGGATCGCAGCATGTTGTCTAGCTTTTGAGGATCTTTTGTTCTACCTCACTTTGTCAGGCAGGTCCTATTTAAGTGATTTCTTGATTGAGAACAGGTGTGGCAGTAATCAGGTCTGGGTGTGGCTAGAGAAATTGAACTCAGCTTTCCAAAGATGTGATAAACCACAGTTAATTTATGTTTTAACGGGGGGGGCAATCACTTTTTCACACAGGGCCATGTAGGTTTGGATTTTTTCCCCCTTAATAATAAAAACCTTCATTTAAAAACTGCATTTTGTGTTTACTTGTGTTATCTTTGTCTAATATTTAAATTTGTTTGATGATCTGAAACATTTAAGTGTGACAAACATGCAAAAAAATAAGAAATCGGGAAGGGGGCAAACACTTTTTCACAATTTAATGACAAGTCTCTAAATGTGTTGATCCTTACTAGGCTTTTCATCTCGGTTATTTTGTCCAGGGCCCAGTTCAGAGTCTGCATTTTTCCTTTTCAAATATTTCTCCATCACTGTTCGTCTTGTCACCGCAACCTCTCCCGCACGTCATTTCATTCTACTGTCTTAAATTAACAAGGTCATTACTGCGCTACCTACTGCCACCCACTGGCATGGAAGAGTATTTATTACTTAGCCAGCCACTATATTGCAGCTCAGACGCTCAACAATGGCAAAGTATTTGCAACAACGAAATAATATTTTTTTGGACTCATTATGTGAGAGATCGTCAGGTGTGCCCACGGCACACCTGACGATCTCTCACGGCACACTGGTGTGCCGCGGCACAGCAGTTGAAAATCACTGGTGTAGATTGCGTATGCATAGTGTCTATCCACTAATCTTTAAAGTTGTATATAAAGTATATTCATTGTATTGTATTTTGGCTTCTATTTTTCATATACCTCCTTTCCTAGTTTAATTCATTTGAAGGACTATGTTGCATCCATTACTGTAAAAAACGTTCTATTACTTAGTAGTAGTATTTCATATTCAATCCTATTTTCTTTGAAGTCTACTTTGGATTTTTGAATATATTTGTATACTAATTGTAAAGGTGTATACATATTTGGACCCTGGTAATCTCCCTATTTGGTCTTTAGGGTTGTGGAAGGCTTTGCATAGACAACCAGTATTAATTCAACAATTAATATGAAACATATTACAGTAAAATGCATCATATCCAGTGGTGGACCACCCTTGAAATTAAATTAGAAGACGTTTTTCAAATTCTGACAGTTATAAGTTTTCTTTGCTTTTTCTTTCACACAGTGGCACTTCCTGCCAGCTGACTCTCATTTCCTCCTTTAGGCATGACTTGCTTCCTCACTTACAGACACACACACACACACACACACACACACACACACACACACACACACACACACACAAACACACACACATACACGTATACATGCAAATGCACACAGCGTCACTACCACTGAAGGCAGAAGAGGAACAGATACTGTATTTTGGTACCACATAGAGTATCCACGGCAACCGCAACACACACTCACACACACACACATACACACGCACACACAGACCACAATGGATCTCACTAAAACCACAAGGAGGAACAATGAGGTTTGATGCAAGCTGAATGCACAAGTTTGAGAAACACACACACACACACACAGACACACACACACACACACACACACACACACACACACACACACACACACACACACACACACACAGACATGGTGTAATGGATGTAATTTGTTGTATTAGTATGTTTGTTGTATTATAAGTATTAGTGTGCTTGTCAATCGAGTTTGAATTAAACTGCTAATGTTAACCATTCAGGCTGCTTTCACACCTGTAGTTGGGTTCATTTGGTCCGGACCAAGGGAAAAAATGCTACATTGTTAAACATGAAGTTATACTAACGTGAACAGATTTCACCATCAGCAGATGGATTTATTAGTAGTTTAGCTTTTGAATTCATGCTAAAATCACACATCTGCTATCATAAAACCCTGTGGTTGGTTTGTTTGCTTTCACACCATAATCACACTGCACCATAGTCCGCTTGGAAGCGGACCGAGACCCACCTTTTCAGGCTGTCTCTATTTGGTTGTTTGATCCGCACCAAGGTTTGATTGACAGCTTTCACAGCATCCCAAGCAAATCGAAGTAACAAAGCAAACTGTCCTGAGTTTCTTTTAACCGAACCAAACTGTGAAGGCACAAGTAGACGAAAGGTTTCTAAACATCAGGCCCGTTAGCACTCCCAGGAAACAGCCTAAATATGTGAATGCACACATTAGAGAATATAAAATGGACTACTGGGACTGTAAAGTGGAACACCTATTGGCCACACAGCAGAGATTGTCAAGATTTGAAGAGTGTTGATTAACAGCTGTACACACCAAACACCAAAGTGGAAACAATTATAGCGTTTTAAAAGACCTGCATAGCAGAAAACACAGAACTAGCGCAGAACTGTTGTTGGTGCAGCTGCTAACATACTCACACAAACAGTTCACTCACGGTTTCTGCTGTTCACTATAAAAAATCTCTGTCCCCATGCCAATAAACAGATCCCTGCCGTCGACAACTTCGACCAATAACAGAGAGTAAGCCCTCGTGGCAGCCCACATGCCCCCACGCATGTGGACAATGTGATTGGCCTGTTTGAATCCAGGACATGTAAGGGCCGTAGGTTTGTTAGAGGCTGTTCTCGCTCTGTTCTAGCAACAACTTTGCATTTCGAAATTTCAAGATGTCCCTTGCACTGCTGTGAGTAAATGTTGATTTCTGAGAAAGATGAACTAAATGATGGCTTAAGTGCTTCACAAATACTGAACAGGGTTTCTGGGTAATTCAAAAGGAAGTCAGATTCTGGAGAAAAGGGATTCATTAAAAATTACTTTTTCTTCTATTTAAAAACAATGACCATTCAGGTTTCCACGCAACATGAAGGCAGCATGACTCAAAGAGTAGGAATGAACTGTTATGGTGGCCACTTAAATGTATTTTACAGCACTTCGCAATCACACGCTAGCCACGACTTGTATTAAAGAATAGGGTTGTTATTTCAACCCACATTGGTATCGTTACACCTTAGAACACAGCAAATCCTCTTTTGGAAAGCAGGATATTTGAGGTGTAGACATGTTATAGCTAGTCCAAAAAGGAATGCTCTGCTAGCTACAGTAGCTCTGGTCCCATGCAAAGACACTCATGGAGAATCTGCACTAGAAGGGTCCTCGAGCCCACTGAACCCCAACAGAAAGCTGCTTTCGATAACAGTATCTGCCGTATTAATGTAATGCACTCATGGGTTGTGCTCTGTATTATAAATGATGGGAAGGTTTTGGTTAAATACCAGCCAGTCATGCTATATAGCTGGGTACATAAGGAGGACTATCATTGTACTTGGTAGCATTGCCCTAGCATAGCTTTGAGCTTTGTTTGTGATGATAAGACAGCGTTCTTGATCAGTGTTTTGTAGTTACTTTGCACCCGCCTGATTCATCCAAACGTTATCAGTCAAAGAAAGTTTGTAGCATCAACATTCTTCCAGTAGAAGATTTAATGAGCCATTGACTAAAATGTCTCAGTTGCGGGGTTTGGCAAACAGCATGTAACTTGTAACTGTAGCTTTACCGTTAAATTGGGGAATTTGTAATGTTGGCGGCGGTGTAGTCAGTGTTAATCCACGACAGAATGGAATTGCGAGACAACGTCTATGACCGGATTTTCAGTAAGTATTGTTGCAAGTAGTCAATTAGCCAAGCTAATAAAAAAGAAAAGTGTGTAATAGCAGGTGGGTTCCAAGATTGCATTTTGGGCCAATGCTCTAGTGCTCGGACTACAAACATTCATATGCAGATATGTGTTTTCAGAGATTAGTCTTGGACAGGCAGGAAGACTGAATTCTCCTCTGTGCTGCCTCTTGGCTTCTTTTCTTGATTAAGGCAGATAGACATAAATCCCTTTTGGGCTCTTACCAGCAGTTATCTGAGCGTGTGTAGGGCTGGAGAAGGTGGCAGAGTTGAGTGCTGCAGATTGGCGGGTGTTAGTGGAGTGTTGATGGTGATGGTGGTGAGGAGGCGTCACCCTCATCGAGCTCCGTCTCAGCTGCTCCAGCTCTGTTAGCCTCTCGGAGAAAGCCAGGGAGCCGGATTTGACTTCGTCCATCTTCTGACGATGACCTGGGAGAGAGAGATGGAACTTATTTACATATACAGTATATCGCTCCCTACAATCTTAGAAATAAGAGTTCCAAACGGTTTCTTCCAGAAGGGCTGAGGTTCTACCCAGAACCATTTGCTTATGAAGAACAATTATTTGAAGAAAGTGTTTTCAAGGGGTAATTGTGAGACTAAAGGTTCCATTAAGAACGCTATTCATCCAAAGTGTCCTAGCTAGCACCTTTATTTCAAAGAGTGTACCATCGACTTTCTGCACTTTCAATTGAAAAGTACCTGTTACCACAATTGAAAAGTGTGCCACACAAATATATGAAGAGGTGATTCGTCAGCAGATTACTTCATGCTTGTACTATGATTATATAATCCAGGGATTACAGTAACAGTTACAACCCAACACAAGCTACAACATTGTCCCGACATTGTTAACACACTCTGTCTGCTAATGTGTTCGGGAATCTGACGATGGGCGCCGCATAGGGGTCTGGCTGTCTCCCTGTGTGTGTGTGTGTGTGTGTGTGTGTGTGTGTGGTGGTCTGTCACGCTGTCTGTGGTGTTGGCTGCACTTCAAAGCACTAAGACTGAGCTCCAGTTACAGGCACTTCCTCCCAATGGGGGAAGTGTGCAAGTGTGTGTATTTATACTGAATATGTGTGTGTGTGTGTGTGAGTGGGCGAGTTAGAGACGAGTGATGGTTATTCACAGCTGAGCGGAGCTGGCAGGAGTCTTCCTCTCTTTCTGTCACCTCACGTCTCTTCTGACAGTGTCGCTCAGTTCAGTTCCATTTAACCTGAATCACAATTATTCATATGACATGTTTGTTTATTGGCACTAAAGGAATCTGTCTTTCTCTCTTGCTTTCTTCTGCCATTAGAAATCCCCATGTTGCATCACTCTGAGTGGGAGAGGAACTCAGTGTTGCATCAGGTTCCTTATTGACTCACTCAACTGAGAGTTTATGTGAAGGGATTAGAGGCATGTCTTCATTAAATATCTAGTCTATAGACTACAATACATGTTTATGACTAACAACTTTCAATGATAGAATAAAAACATTACATTCAAGCAATATTCAATACAATTCTGTACCAAACAACTTTCTGAGGCTAGTATGCAACATAAGACGAGATGTATTAAGTGTATTAAGATCAAATGTACTTTAGAATATTAAAAAGTAATATATTGATGAAGAGTACTACTGTAATCATTACCCTAATCCTAATCTAATCTCACTTTTCTTAATTGATGGACTGTCCCTCAATATACAACCCTATTCTACAAAGTTTTCTACATTAGTTTTCTTCTGGGACGTCTGTCTGAGCGGACGTTACAATATGAGCAGTGTACATGTGGATGGGTTTGATTGGTATTAGTTACCATGTGTAGGAATTGTTGTTAATTAACATCAACTCCGATCATTGCAGCAGCTTTAGAAGATTGACAATGCTGCTGCTAACACTGAATTCACATGCTGCCTTTGTGGGCAGTAACCCTGTGGGACTCCACATGTCATATGCTGAGGAGGAACATGTCAACATCTGTGTGTCAGTGTCACTCACGCCGTGGCTCTCTAGGACCGTCCACGGTGATTTTAATGGCTCTCTGGTATGTGGCCACCTGAGGAGGGTTGGTGAACACAGTGATGGTAAGAGTGAAACTCTTCCCTAGGAGAGAAAAGGATAGGACAAAAGAGAGGAAGACAGGGAGAGCATAGTCAGAGAAAGAAAAAAGAAAGGAAACAGAATGGGGAAAAAGGAAAAGTGTTCATTAGTATTAGGATCTTTTTCAAGTAATACTCTCCTTTCAATCCCTCCACTACTTCTCTCCTCCCCCCCTCTTGGTCTGCTTAATGCATTAAGTCATGTACGTCATGAGCCCCCAGGCAGGAATAAACCAGATACCACACACACACACACACACGCACACACACACAGAAAGAAACAACGAGATGAAGAAAGAGAAAGTCTGATAGACAAACTCTTCAAATAGTGTTGCGATGAGGGGGGGGGGGCATATTGATTATGCTGGACTATATTGCTTTTGATGGATTATAATGATTTATGATTTAGCTGACAACAGGCTTCATTTCCATTCCATTTTCAGGCAGTTTTAAGTAGCATTAACGACACACACACACGCACGCACGCACGCACGCACACACACACACACACACACACACACACACACACACACACACACACACACACAATGTGAATGTGGTGCATTTCCATCAGCTGGTTTGGAGCGAACAGACTCGGCTACAGCGTAGTTTGGTCAGAGGTTTGCACTATAAACTACGCATGGCTGTAATCGTCCAGTAAAAAGAGTTTTAGAAGAAGTAGAAACAAAACTAGTCAGCTTAGCCATCTCACCATCTGTTATTGTTCTTGACAAGCATGCATGCATTATGGGAATACCCGGGAAGATGCTGAAAAGGGAAACAGCTCATATGACTAAAATGTTCCCTACATCAGAATCATTTTGGAAAAGGCTTTTTCATAATCCATAAAGCACAAAAAACACACATAAACTCCTCGAGCGAGTGTAAAAAACATTTTTCACAACTTAGGATGTTTCATTGAATTTTGCCGTTTCCATTCAGCTTTTCTAATGCGATACTTAAATATGTGGATCAAAATATATCTTTGTTGTGCACATTTACTTCACCCAGAAAACCACAGATGACTGTTATGAGGACTGGTTATGCATAACGAGGAGAGCATTGCTGTCATTAATGAATCAAACAGCAACTATCAGTCAGTCACTTAATCAGAACTATGGTTTAAAACATTATGAGCTCTGATTTAGAAAAGGTAGGCTATGCATTCTAAGGGGCTCTTGCCAGCCAATCAGAAACAAGTGTTTTATTTCACGAAGGTATAATCCAAAAATATCGACCATAAAA